GCTCCGTTTTCCTGTTAAAAAATTTGATTTTCTGTAAACCTCGTTGAAAAAAAAAAAAATCAATCATTTTTCTTTTGTAAATAGTAATAGTAAGTACCGGTACAGCGTAAAAGTAAACACCGACGACAGACTGTCTCTGTCAAACAGTGGAATCATCACTGTCCTAAATTTAAGTTTCTTTTTAATTTTTGTGTATTTTGCTTTTTCCATCCAATCCAACCCCAACAACATAGAAAAGAAAACAAAATGAAAGAATCGCAACCTTACGATTACGAATATGATACCTTGAATTATTGGCCCCTCTCTCTCTCTCTCACCACTTTCCTTTTACTTTCCAACCAGCGAGTGCGAGGCAAGCAATTACATTATATTTTATTTTTATTTATAATAATTAGGATTTAGGAGGACTAGCATTAGTATTCATTTGCCCTTGCCTCACTTCTCAAGTTTTTAAGTCCACCCCAACCTCACTCCTCCTCCCCTCATTCAATCCAAGATCTCACAATCACAGTTCACAGATCAGATCTACCCACCCAATACAAGATACCAAATCCCAAAATGAGCATGTACGGCCGCGATCCCTGGGGCGGCCCCCTCGAGATTAATGCCACCGACTCCGCCACCGACGACGACCGCAGCCGCAATCTCCAGGACTTGGATCGAGCTGCCCTTTCTTCTTCTCGCCCCTTGGATGAGACCCAGCAGAGCTGGTTGCTCGGCCCTGGTGAGCAGAAGAAAAAAAGGTATGTTGATTTGGGCTGCATCATTGTCAGCCGCAAGATCTTCCTCTGGACTGTCGGTGCCCTCCTCTTCTCCGCCTTCCTTGCCGGTTTTGTCACCCTCATCGTCAAGACCGTTCCCCGCCACCGCCACGGCCATCCCCCTCCCGATAATTACACTCTCGCCCTCCACAAGGCTCTCATGTTCTTCAATGCTCAGCGCTGTATGTCTCTTCTTCTTCTTCACTTACATTACGTACTCACTCTTTCTTTAATTTAATTTATTTTTAATTTAATAATAACAATATAATAATCTGGATCTTAGTGGTGTTTGTTTTACCTATTTTTGACCAAAACTTTTTTTTTTTTAAAAAAAATAAGCTATGAATTTGTGGAGATTACTCACAAATTGGCAAATCTGTTGGATGGAAGGTTTGAATTTTTCTACTATTACAGTAGCTAGGAGTTGTAACTCTCCCA